CAGGGTATTCTTTCCTTTCTGCTTGTTTCTTAGAACGTGGGGCTACGAGGATTAGGATGAAGATAAGCGCAGAGGCTTTATTTGGGGTTGACTTTGGGGAGTTTATGTGAGTTTATGGAGCGTTTGGGCGTGGGCCAGAGGTTGGAGGAACGCTGAGGTCCTCCTCGCTCAGCCCTGAAGGCAAATGATGCGTGTCATTGTGGTAAATGGAGCGAGGAGAAGAGGCTGCAGACAGTTTTACTAAACTAAAACTTGCTGTAGACGGGCTTCTGTCCTCTGCTGTCTGTCCTCTGCTGTCTCACGCTGTAAAAACAAACCGTTCATTTAATGTAGCGTTTCACTTCTTTTACTTGGGTTAGAGTTATAACCACCTTTTTTTAGTAAAAGTAAGTCTTACCAAAATTAATTAGTTAAATTTTAACGTATTTTTCCACAAATAATGTCTCAGATTTTTAAATCTTCCCTATTTTTTTGTATTTTACTCCATTAATTCAGATAAATTCATACCAGTTATTTGCGTTTTTTTTAATTAAACTGTTTTTACATTGTAATAGTTAAATATTTGTTTATTTAGGATTTTATTAGGCATAAACTGCGCTTCCTGGGATCCATCAAATCACAAAAACACATTAAAACAAATGAATAAGATAATAATCCTTTATTAGTCTCACAGGTGGGAAATTTAGGTTGTCACGGCAGGAAGTGGACAGTACAGAAATCAGAGCAGCAGGTACAAAACAATAAAAAATAAGATAGAAAAATAAAACAGAACAACAGCATGGTGAAAAAGCACCATGTTACATCAAAATACAGTATATATAAACACACATCCATATATACACATATATATATATACATATACATGTCTTTACACTCAACCAAAGCAAAAACAGTCATTGTAAACAACCCAAAACACATTCAACCAACTTAAATAAATGAAGTGTTTGTGTTTTAGACAACGTATGTCCACTTATGACTATTTTACTCATTTCGACTATATCCAGCTGTTAGCATTACAGTTTTTATTGGTCCAAAAGAAGCTTCTAGTATATCTAAAAAAATTACATCTTCWGTGTTGGACAAACTTTTCATAAGTTGTCCAAAACACTATAGTGTGGCAGGGTGGGCCTGAATGAAATTAATCAAAATAGTAATGTTTGTCCTAATATCTAAGTAAACTGTGGACATTAGATAATTTTATGCTAATTTATTTATTTCTTTATTATTATTATTATTATTATTTGATAGGGACAGACACACAACAACATAGACAGACTGAATAAAACGGCAGTCCCATGCCTGTATCATGGTGCTTATAGTGTGAGCTTGGGATGCACAATATATCGGCATTCATGTTGGTATCTGCTGATATTGGTCATTGTTTAGAATATCGTATCTGTCCGATATGTAAAAGTGGGCAGATATTAACATCTGATATTGATTTCTCATTTTTATCTTTGTGTTTCTGTTTTGGGAGGGGAGATGGTTGGTTGAGCAACATCTTTTTGATCATGATAGTGATATTGACGCTGCACAGCCAGGAATAACTAAAGTGGGGAGCCATGTCAGAGGTCTGGTTGTTTATTTACAGTATCAAAAAAWGACACAAGTGTGTTTGTGTGTATATTATGATAAAATTTTTGTGTCTGTGTATTATCGATAAATATCGGTTATCGGCCATAACAGCAGTAATTATATTGGATATCGATATCGGCTGAAATTTTCATATCAGCCCTAGATGGATTTATTATTCCAAAAAAAGTGACAGAATCCAGATTACATGCACATTTTCACATTTAACAGATTGATCATTATTACCTCCWGGAATTCCTTCATTAATTCGGTTTCAGTTTGTTTCCACTTCCTTTCGTTTCTAACCTTCAGGATTCCTGACCTTGAAGGATTCAGACAGTTTGAAATTAGCAGGTTAATTTCTGAAACACTGGACAGGCTCCACACCTGGAGTGGTGGGCTGAGGGGAACAGGATGACGCTCACTTTGCTGTGAGTTGTCGTCGGCACTAAAAACAAACAGAAAAACACCCGGAGCACCCACGGTGACTGGTCTGCTCCTCACCTTTGTGTCCAGGGCGTGGTCCGCCGAGCACAGGTCCTGCCACCGAGGGGGGGATTTTCAGCCACGCACTCGCTGATAGCCCYTGATCCAGTCACCCTCACACACCCGTGGAGGCAAACACAACATGTGACAACCCCAAACAAACACACGCAAAACCATGACAACTGTTGCTTCACGCTCGTTTTCACGTTTCCTCACTTTCCTCTGTAATCTCTTCAGCGCCCGAGGAAGAACGGGCCTCGCCAACTTGTGCATCACTGACATTCTGATCATTCCACCTATTTTAACTCTTTCCAAGTGACCTCTTCCCTTGTTGCGAACAATCGGGTTAATCTGCGTCGGCTGCGTAGGCTGCGTCGCGCTGGCTGAACGCCGGCCCACTGTAACCGCCACACGGACGGCTGACTGGAATATTTGTCTCGTTAGTCAGAGGGCACCCTCGGGCTGACGTGGGGATGAATCATTTCTCTCATTACTTCTATTTCATTCACACAGAGATGGTTTAAAGATACAGCCTAATCCTTTTTATGGCAGGAAGCCTTGGCAGATTTTATTGTTGATGTTTCAGTTTGTCAWAGAAGACAAGCACGACTTGCGTAACTTTTTAATCTGTGTTTAAATATTCATCATTGGACCTTTTAAGCAACACTATTGAGATTAATCTGCTTCCTGTTGATCATTTTCCAACATTTTCTGGTTGTTAGCTGGGAAGATGACACTTTTGTTTTGGCATTTTTAGTTTGAACATTGTTTTTCTTCAGTTTTCAGCCCTTAAAAGGACACAAACCCCTCTTTTGTAATAGCGAAAAGCTTGGAGTTTAATTTCTGCAGGTTATGGCATGCAGAATATTTACAGCTGTGATCACTCAGTAACTGAAAACGATTCAGTSTAATGCATCAGGCGTTACCTGCTCAGAGAAAACAAATTCCCCTCCGGGTGACACCTGAGGAATAACCTAAGATTTATCTCACGTAATGGCAGGGCTTCCTCTAATAATTGTGTGTTTACCAGTAGATGAAACAGGAATTGGCTATAAATTTAGGAAAGGAAATCTGCCAATGAGTGATGGTGAAAGGTAACTACGCTCTCTTTTTAACTTTRAGGGGATTATGTTTCAGGAAAATAAACCAGGTCTTAAATTTTACAGCATGTGAGTGTTTATTTAAAGAAAAAACAGATCAAAATGTGACGTTAAGTTGTAATAAACTAAACCATCCTGTCATGACCTTCAGTCTGCTCCAGAGTTGTAAAGTAACTAAGTACAAATACTTTTACTGTATTTTTCAGCCAACTTTTTACTTCTACTTCTTACATTTTTTTTAAAAATCCAGAAGTATACTTTTATTTTATTTTTACTTGTTTTCATTCCAGCTTGTTCTTGTAAYAAATAAAAACTATCCATATAAACTGAGCCTCCTAGATAAGAGTGAATTTTACTGTGGTTGAATGAGAAGTATAAATATATAAAACTCTGATAGTGTATTAGTTTGTACACAAACAAATCATGTCACACTCCAGCAGGACATAATCATTCAAATAAAAGGACTGTACTTAAGAAGTATTTGTATTTCATGAATTATATTATTACATTTGTCCGCAGCCCTCAGATAGATTTTCATTTTGGGGAAAAGCTTTGTGCAGCCTTGATATATATATATATATATAAACTGAAACAGCTGGACTAGTGCATCCTAAATTTAACTTTTACTCAAGTATCACTTTGTGGTACTTTATACAACACTGCTGCTAACTGAGGCCTCGCACGGTCTGACCTTCAGGGTGAATTTCCTCACACCTCCACTCCTGGGAGAATTGATGTTTTGGATGTTTTCCACTTGTGAATATTTTTTTTTTCTCTCTGTGGAATTTTTTTTTTTTTTTTTTTTTTTTGGCTGCTCCCTTCTTGCGTCACCACTGCGTGTAAACTTGTACGTCAGATTCCTGGGAAAGTCCAGGAAGTTGTTCGTTATGTCCAGAAACATAAAACCTTTAAACTGAAAAAAATATTTACCTACTTTTTTTTAACCAAAACCCAGAGTGAATCATGCCCTTAGAGTGCCTGTGACATGCCTATCCTTCAAATACAAAAAGCCAATGAAAGCATTTTTATACTTAAGAAAATTGGCATAGTGCACATGATTTTACTCATTTTGTCTCATAACTGGCCTATTTCTTTTGAATTTGGCTCAGCCAACGTGAAACAGGAAGTGACATCAAAGGGGAACTCATTAATAAAATAAACTTGCTGGTCTCTGTTTATTAAAACTAAATATTTAAACTTTAACTCTTCTTTGTCTGTCTTTGATAGCGACTCAAAATAATCTAAAGAAACATCAGATTCTTCTCTACAGTCTGTATTGTTTAGCTTTTGCAACGACGTTCTGTTTACATGCAGACATTCCCCTTTGARATCACTTCCTGTTTCTTCACATGCCAATATCTCACCAACCGTTCATCTCAGCAACATGAAATTAGTTTTGCAATATGTTATAAATGTTATCTTTCCAAAAATGCATTCATGTTTATTAATAAAAATTTGACATCACAGGCYCTTTAAAGGCTGAAAGGAGTATTTTTTGTTTCTCTTGCTGCTGTGTTTCATCAATAATCACAATCCTCTGACCGACATAAACACACGTAGCTTTGTCTCAGTTCAGGGGTCAGCTGAGTGCTGTATTCTCTGTTGAAGTCACAAAGAAACAGGGAAATCTCGCTGCACTTGGTTCTGTTTTTTCCACAAGTTCTGCCAAGATTTTAAAGCCATACCTCAACAGCTAAAGCTGCACGGTCATAAAGCTGCAAGCCTCCAGTAAAACTGCTCGTTTTACCTTCTAATTGGGGCACTTTGACTGTAAAATCTGTAATTTGCATTGCATAAAATAACTTCGTCTCTCCTGTGTGTCTCCCCCCTCTGAACCTTCAGCTGATACGTCTTGGGAGTGATGCACTGGCTTCCCCTGGTTGCCATGGTGATTGCCTCGGCCCTGCCCTACCCTCACAACCCGGCGACCGCGCAGCCCGGCTCCGGCAGCCGCCGCGACCCGGCCGCTCGCCCCGCAGCTCCTCCTCCCGCGGACGACAGCCTCCGAGGAAATGCCTCGCGACCGGACGACGGCGCGGCTGACGCCCCGAGCCCGCACGACCTCCAGAACCATCGGGGTCCCGAAAGACCCTCCGTTTACCAAGAGACCTCCACAGCCAGAGTGGAGGATCAGATCGCCTCCTTCCAAACATTCAGCGTCTCAGACACGGACAGTTTGGATTCTTCACCTCTCAGGACCGAGGAGCTCCCAGAGGATAACGCTCTGCCGCAGGACTACGAAACCCACGGTTCCCGCAGCAGGAAGGTTTCTCCTGGTGTTTTGGACCTCACAGACTCTCCATTACAGATGTCCACAGTGGAGAACTACGATGTGGTTAGCCCCGCCACGCTGCTGAAGGGTCGGAGGGGACTGGAGCCCACTGCTCCTTCAGGACCGGTTCGGAACGTGCCACAAAGCAGGACGGGAACTAAAACGAGTCCAGGCTCGACCCTGGAGGCCGGACTGGGTCTCCGGGCCGAGCTCGATAGCCTTCTGGACGGAGACGACGTGTTTTTGAATGCGCACCCACGAGTCCTTTTCTCCTCCTCCCTGTCGCCCCCCGAACACCCACCCGTGCTGCTGATGCTGGAGAGCGGCCTGTCYGAGGACGGGGACGGGCGGGAGGATCTGGACAGGCACGCCGAGGGTCACGGCGACCGCGCCATCGACCGGAGCACGACTCCGAGTTGGGCGGACTACTCAGAGGCCGGCCGGCCCGTAAGAAGGGACAAGCGGTCGCACCTGATGGACAGGAGGAGGGGGGAAAAGGCCGTCTGCGAGTCGGAGAGCGAGTGGGTCACAGACAAGACCACCGCCACCGACTCCCACGGACAGGTCGTCTCCGTTCTACCGGAGATCCAGACGCAGACGGGACCCATCAAGCAGTACTTCTACGAGACCCGCTGCCGCCAGGACAAGCAGCCGAGCGGCTCCGACAGGAAGAAGGGCAAGGCGGAGCGAGCGCTGGGGACGGACGGAGCCAGGTGCTTCGGCGTGGACAACAAACAGTGGCACAGCGAGTGCAAGGCCAAGCAGTCGTACGTCCGAGCGCTCACCAAGGACGCAAACAACCGAATCGGGTGGAGGTGGATTCGCATCGATTCGTCCTGCGTGTGCGTGCTGCTGTCCAGGACGGCTCAGGGGAAGGAGGTCTTGCCGAGACGGAGTAGAGGCTGACGGGAGGAAGTGGGGTGGGAGAAGAGCAGCTCAGACATACGTTCTGTCTAATAATGGAAGTTATCCACTTTTTCCTCATCTCTCTGTTTTCTGCCCTCCTCAACGGGACTTAAAAAAAAACAACAAGACCTCAAAACTAGATCTTAGGGAAAATTGTTATATAGAGATTTGACATTAAGAAGTACTGTTTTTGTATGAATTATCTTTCATAATCTAAGTTATTTTGGTTAGTATATAAGCATGTCTTTGATATTAATATATTCCTTAACATGTGTGTATAATATGACACCAGTATACCTTTATGTATTTCAGTGTGTATTTATAGAAGACGTCTTCATGCAGTAGTAGGTCTCTCGGGTGTCTGATGATAACTCCAGCCTCTGGTTTCGCTCGTTGGTTGTAGAAGCAAACAGCGCCACCTACAGAGAGTTTATCGTACTGCTCCAAACTCTCACCGGATGAATGAATGTTGCAACACAAAAACACAAAAACAAACAAACAAAACGACAGCGTTTTCACACACCGATCTGTGTGGCTAAATGCAGTTTGTAAATTATGTGATCCCCAAAGATCTGCTGTTTTTCTTCACTTGGACCGCCGAATATAATAAAAGACCTTTGTATTCATTGTTCTGGGTGCAGTTTCATGCATGACGTGCAGAAGTGGAGAAAAGTATTTGCTGTTTTTTGAGATACATCTAGGGAAAGTTACAAAGTCTTACTAACATATTTGCTTTATTATCTTTGTTTTGTTGCCTTATAACACGTGTCAAACTAAATGCCCGTGACTCCTGTCTGGCCTTAAAGGGGAGGCACCCCTCCCAAAAACATATGTATTTTTTATTTATTGTTATTTTTTTACTTAATATGAAAATAGTTTGTCAATGGTAAACTTTAAATTTACAATTGAAAAAAAAAAAATAAACAAATGTAAAAGGTGAAAGATATTATTACTTTCCCCTGAGCTGAGCAGTTGGCTTTAAAGTGCCTCTCCTTCAAATACAAAAAGTCAAAGCATCTTTATACTTAAGAATATTGGCATAGTACACATGATTTTACCCATTTTTTCACATAACTGGCCTATTTTTCTTTTAAATTTGGCTCAGCTAAAGTGAAACAGGAAGTGACATCAAAGGGGAACTCTTTACTAAAATAAGCTTGCTAGTCTCTGTTTATTAAAACCAAATTATTTAAACTTTAACTCTTCGATAGTGACTCAAAATAATCTAAAGAAATATCAGATTCTTCTCTACACTCTGTTTACCTGCTGACATTCCCTTTGACATCACTTCCTGTTACTTCACATGCAAATATCTCAACAACCGTTCATCTGAGCGACGTGAAATTTGTTTTGCAATATTTTATCAACGTTGTCTTTCCAAAAATGCATTCATGTTTATTACAAAAATTTGCTGTCACAGACACTTTAAGTAACTGACCAATTTAGTAGAATACCACAGAATTAATGTCTCAAAATAAGCTGCTTTAAAGCCAGCATTGACCATAAACATCATCTCCCATAATTCATGACAATCATCCAATGGAATTCCTTGTTGGAAAGTGGGAGAGTTCAGAATTCAAGATGGCAGCTCCTCACTACAACTAGTAGTATTTAGTAGAAGTATTTCTGTATTATTTATTTCACATTTAGTCAGTTGTACATGTAGTACTTTTCATAGTTTATAAGAAGACGAGTTAAAACTCTGTTCAGTCCAAGTTAAACGTGAAATGCTAATTACAACAGGCCCTTCGAGGGCCACCATAACGCTCATGTGGCTGTCAGTGAAAATGTCTTTGACACCCGTGCCTTAGAACATCAAAATTAAGATATTTACCCAGTAAAACAAAAAGTGTAAACTCCAGGCTTTAAGGCAACAAGATTATCTGATATTAAACCTTAAAAAGATTTTTGCGATGTATCAATACGAATTCTAAAAAGAGAAGAAAAAAAAAAAACAAGATGATCATTGAATCCACCTGGATTGCTTTATTTTTTTTTCTTTTACATCACTATTTTCATCATCAATAATCTGTATTTTCCAGATGATATTTTCAGTTTGTATTACTATCACTTGAATCATGGAAATCCGTTTAAATCGTTGCACGATTTTGTTCTCAAAATGTACACATACAGGAGCATATTTGAATGACTGAAGTTTTGTATTTTGATTTTTTTTTTTACTTTTTAAAACTAGTTCAAATGAAGTCGAGAATGAACCGAACGTGTACATACATTTATCCAATACGTAGCTGAAGAA